CCAGGGAGCCTCCGGAGCCCCCCGGAACCGAAAAAACATTTTTCGAGGCTTGAAAAATTGTTTTTCTCTCCCCGGGGCCTTCGGCGCCTCCAGGGAGCCTCCAGCCCCCGGAAGCATTTTTCGAGGCCTGAAAAATTGTTTTTCTCTCCCCAGGGCCTTCGGCGCCTCCAGGGAGCCTCTGGAGCTCCGGAAAGCCATAAAAGCATTTTTCGAGACCCAAAAAATTGTTTTTCCTCTCCCCCGGGGCCTTCGGCGCCTCCAGGGAGCCTCCAGAGGTCCCGGAAGCCGAAAAACATGTTTCGGGGGCTGAAAAATTGTTTTTCTCTCCCCGGAGCCTTCGGCGCCTCCATGGAGCCTCCGGAACCCCCACGAGCCGAAAAAACATTTTTCGAGGCCAGAAAAATGTTTTCTCTCCCCGCGGGGCCTTCGGCGCCTCCGGGGAGCCTCCGGAATTCCCGTGGAAGAAGCGTTTTCGAAGCCTGGCCACGGGGCAAGATTTATCCGGCCAACGATGCGCCACTGCGCGCATCCGGCCAATCAGCCAACCAACCTCCTTGCTCCTGCTCCTGCTCCTCCTCCTCCTGCTCCTCTCCTCCTCCTGCTCCTCCACCTCCTCCTCCTCTTCCTCCTCCCTTTTTCTTCAAAGGGAAAGGCCAAGCGGAATCAGATCGGCGCGAATCCGTGGGCAGCGAAACCGAACTGGAAACCGGCGGCCGATTCGATCCCCTGGGCCGGCACGAGGCGCCAGCGAGGCGCCCGCGGCGAAACCGAATCAACCGAAGTAACCGAAGAGGGCGCGACGACGCAGGGACTCCGCAACAACCGAACCGACCGAACCGATCGATTCTAACCGACACCGACGCAACCGAACCGACCGGTTCGCGGCCGTCCATGGTCAAGGATCCGCGAACAGAAGGATCGCCGATCGCGCCCAGAAAAATACCAGAGCAGATTGCAACGTCTCCGCGCCTGCCACATCGCCCGCGGAGCACGTCTTTCCTTTCTGAATGTTGCGGAACTGCACGCGCGCCGCGTAACTGCTGAGCCGCGCAAGTTCTACGACGTCTGCACTCGCCCACCGTCGGCGCGCCCGCTGGGGAGTTTTCGCGTTGCCGTCGGTCGCGAACAGCTTTTCGCAGGACTCCGCCTGGGTTCCCCGCGGCAGCACCCCTCTCCAGCAGTTCGCCCGCCTCGACCCCCCCCCGCCCCCCCATCCAGGCGCACCGCCCCTTTCGAACCGCAAGCCTTGAACCACCTTGTTTTTAGCGCCTCTGTGCACGTAGACGGATAAACCACCCCGGCTGATTCGCCCTCGAAGTTCGCGACTGCCGCACATTCGCAAGCCTGTTTCAGATCTGCGCCAGCGCGTTGGACGCCCCGCAATACTTGCAGCCCCGCCAAAAGATCACCCCCGGCAATACAACGCTGGACCCTGGTCGCAGCAGGACTGAATAATAAAAATAAATCGCGAAGCGCTCAACCTTCCCTCAGCCGTGACGAATGAAAAACCTGATCACCACTAACTCACCCCCTGGAACGATAAATAACGATTCCAACGGCGCCACACGTGGGGGTTCTCGAAGAATAACAACCCAACTTCAAACACAACACCCCACTTTGGCGATGAATAAAGCTTTTGCCGCATTGCAAAATCATCTCATGAGCAAATCACTCTGGCTTGGCACGACACAAGTCGTTGGACAGGGGCCCAAACCACCCCCTGAGGCCACACTATTCCCGAAGGGCCCCCCGCACGCCCCCACGATGGCCCCATAAGGCCCCCAGAAGCCCCCAAGAGGGCCCCAGAAGGCACCCGACATGACCCCACAAGGCCCCAAGAAGCCCACCATACGGCCCCCATAAGCACGCACGCAAGCCCCGAAAGCCCCCAAGGGCGTCTTGGAGGCCATCGAAGCCACGCGGCGCCTTCTCTGGGAAATATCGCGGCCCCCTGGATCCATCATGGAGCCTCCAAGAACCCCAAAACAACAGATTGTCTGGACGCCCCTCCGCGCGGGCCGGGGGCGGCTTTTTCGCGCGCAGGCCAATAAAAACAAGCCGCGGCGACGCGCCAAAAAATATTCAAAACAGGAGGTGAAAGCGGCGGGCCCCCCCGGTTTCCTGAATAATGTTCGGGGGCCCCTGGGCGCCTCTCGGGCGCTCTTGGGTGCCTCTTGGGGGCCTCTTGGGCCGCTCTTGGGAGCCTCTTGGGGGCCTCTCGGGAGCCCACGAAGGCCTCTCGGGCGCCTCCTGGGAGCCCTTGGGGGCCTCTTGGGGGCCGCCAACAGCTCCCAGAGGGTTCAAAGAAAAAACAAAAATATTGGGGCTATCTTGGGGGCCTCCTGGGGCGCTCTCGGGGGCGTCTCGGGGCGCTCTCGGGGGCCCCCGCTTGGAACCACGCGAGCAGCAGCAGCATGGAGCAGCACAGCAGCACGCAGAAGCAGCAGCAGCAGCAGCCGACAACTGACAAGTCGCGCGCAGGCAGACCCCCCACTGGGGGGAAATGACGGGGGGGCCGATCGAAATTGACCCCCCCTGGAACGATGGATAACGGCGGAAACGCTCCAACACTAACACCCCCCCCCCCCCGTCGACGACTGAACCGGCTCGAATGCACTTACAGGACCAACCCTTCACAACCAGGGGCGACGCCAAAAGGTCGCCACGCAGGCCTCGCACCCCCCCCGCCGCCCGCTAGGTCTGGCGCCGCCCGAAAGAGGCGCAGCGCTCGAAGTTGCGACGGCCCTCCAGACGAAGGGGGCCCGCCGATAGATGCTTCTCCTCTGGTTGCAATACCCTCGATTGCAGCAGTCGTTGCAGATCGCGCCCTCGGGCAGCCATGCTGATGTATCCCTCCATTTACGAACAACCTTTTTCGCTGGGTGGCTCATCGCGGACTTTGCGTCTTTCCGGTAAAAATTGAGACCCGCACTGACCCCGGAAATTCCTAAAACTACCTCCCCGCACGCCTCGTGGATTGGCGCGTCGTTCCCAGGGGGTTCAAGCAGCGACACATTCAAATCCCCATCCCCACTCGGGAACGACGCGCTGACGACGCCCACGGACGAACGCTTTATCCCCGAAACTGCCGTCCGGGAATATGCTGACGACTTCCTGTCGGCCCACTGTGGGAACGCCGCCGCCGCGCAGCACCTCGCCGTTGATCCGAACGGGGTCCTGAGGGCGCCCCCCACAGGTTTGAGCAATGATGCGTGCTCCTCACAGGACCCCTTCGCCCCCCAAACTACCTCCAACTGACCCGGCGTAGGTACATTAAGGGCTACTGCCCTGCGATTAGATTTGGAGGTCATTGCCTCGCTGTGTGACGATGAGCACGTAAGCATTCTCATGTCGAACCCCTGGTTGACATGGAAATCGATCTGGTCCGGCTATCCCTGATCGTCGGGAAATGTGTGACGACGGTGTCGAAAGGCTGGCTGACGGTGTTGGTTGCCTGCAGCCTCCCCTTGAAAATGACAAATAATAGGTCCCCCACGTTCCATCACGAAGGCCGCTGTTGTGGAGGCTCAGGAACGTCCACAATCCAAGGTCAAACTAGGCTATGACATGGATCCACTCGAGAAATATCATCCCAGTCAGCACCGCAAATGTGCTTGGCTTCATCAGGGCACAAATCCAATTCTGAATTGGTAATTGCGTTTAGGCGTGCCGGTAAAATGTGGCCCAGTTCAGGGTGATCCAGAAGAGCCGCCAACGCGATGCCATGCATAACCCGTTCGCCGACTAACATGCATAACACCTCGTGGTGCCAAACAGTCCCAGGCCGCCGAGCCTCGCGTGAAGAGGGGCAAACGAGCACCCGGTGTTCCGACACGCTGTCCACGTACCGTTTGCCCTGTGTGACTCCCTGGAGCAAGAACACATGCCGCCCAGCTTCCCCCTCGAGCCTACGACATACGTTTCCCTAGCCCCTCGCCAGGATACCCCGCACATTCCAAGACACTGCTGTGAAATGTGATGCCCCGTGGATCCTCCAGTACCTGATGGCCTGTCTCCTCCGCGATCACTTCCTGATCGAGACTGGTTTGTTGATCTCGCCCAGTTTGGCGGTGAGGTCCAGCGTGACGCCCGTGGCCGTGAGCTTGATGAGGCTCCCCGGCACAATCTTCAAATGGTGGGTGGCCCGATCCTGTTCCAAAATCTTCACAAAGCCTGCTGAGATGCCTTGCGAAATCTTCTTCGGGTTGAAAATAACGGCGCCCATGTTGTCGAATGCATCCATTGCCTCTTCCGCCTCGTTCTGCGGGATCTGGCGATCACTGATTAAAAAAATACGAAAACGTATTCCTCCATATTTTGACGTTTGGACATGTCAATGTTCCACGCGAAATTGTCGACGCCGTGCCACAGGAAGCGCTCCCCTGCTTTTGCGCATTCTCTTTCCGGGTGGGGTCCGCCAAGATCGACGACAACTGTATTCGTTCCATCGCCTTCAAGAACTCCTACATGCAGTCGGAGGCCTTACCGTGGCCTTGGCACTATTCGAATAGGTCCCAACCGTGAACACCCGCTCAAATACTACACCCATGTCGTTGAACTGCTTTGTGACGAACTCCTTGAGAAGGCCCCCCTCGTTGTAAGAGAACCCCCAGATGCAGATGACACGACGCATCTTTGGAGGAACGAAGGTCATAGCCGCCGCCGCCGTGTTGAATGCCGCCGTCATGGTGTTCATCCTATCCGTCCCCCCCCCCACTCCCCCCGGCTCACATCCCCCTCTCCGCCGCCTTCAAGCGCGCTTCGAACGTGCCCGTTCGCTGGTCCAACTCCCCCGTTTTCTTCCGAACCCCTTAGACCTTCTGGTTCACCGCCCGGATCCCCTGCTTCAAGTGCTTGACGACGACGACGACGACGACGACGACGACGACGACGGCGGCGGCGACGACGACGACGACGACGACGACGACGACGACGACGACGACGACAACGGCGACGGCGACGGCGGCGGCGGCGACGACGGCGGCGGCGCCGGCTGGCGCCTGAGCGTCGAGCGTGAGGCCCCCCCTCTCTGGTGCGCACGCCGCGGTGGCAGTGCAGGTGAAGACGGTGAGCGGCGGGTGCTCCTCCGTGAGCGACACGCTGGCCTCGGGGGCACGCCGACATGGATTGCAGTCGGCCTTGACTGGACAGGACACGCGAGAGCCGCATCGCCACAGGAGCGTAAGAAGGCACGCGTCGCGAGGCACAGGACACAAGGGTACCCTTGAGCTGGCAGGGTCGACCTACTAAGCCGGGCCGACTGTGCAGTCACCCGTATCAAAAGGACGCACGATCAGGATGCAAGGGCCTTGGAAGGCCATCTCGAAGCTTTTCGAGCGGGGCGCGACCAACGAAAGTGGCCAGGGATAGACCGAGGAGGCAAGGATGCAAGGGTACCCTTGGGAAGGTTGCCCATCCTTACTATGCGGGTTGACTCTATGCATCCGTGGATCTGGCGCGCTGGCGCCGAATCGGTGGGTCGGGAAGGCACCCCCCGAAGCAGGAAGCCAACGCCGCCCGATGTGCGGGGGGGGCGACGGGGCACGCCGATACCGCACGCAGACGGCACGTGCCGCGAATCCACGCCTTCCGAATCCATGTTTGCGACTTCTTGATTGGATTACGTCATTGGCGGTCGTGGAGACCAGATCAGGCCTGGGCACGTCTCGGAACTTACATCTCAGGAAACTGCGACGTTTGATAGTCTGGGGGGGGGGGGGGCGGCCGGGAGGAGCAGCATCCTCCTGCTGCTCCTGCTCGCCGCTCGCTGCCGCTGCTCCTGTTCATTCCCTCTCCTCCTAAGCCTCCTCCCCCTCGTCCCCCTCCGCAATTTCCTCCCACACCACCCTCTCCCCCTCCTCCTCCTCCCCCTCCTGCTCCCCCTCCCCCTCCCCGTCCTCCTCCTTGTTCTCCTCCTGGACGCCGCCTCAGCGGACAGGTTCACCTGGCCACCACTCTACGCCTCGATGGTGGATGGCGCCCAGTACCATTGACGCCACCACCAGAGGCGAGGCCAAATGGGTCGGACACAACCCGCTCGTGCCGGGATCATCTAGACGACCCGGCATACCAACAATCCTACGGACACAACCCGCAGGGGTTGCGGGGCGAAGCAGAGCTCGTCTCACCAGCAGACACAGCATCAGCAGTCCGCCCCGTCTTCGTCCTCCTTCTCTGGTCCTCCTCCACCTCCTGCTTCCCCTCCTCCTCCTCCTCCTCCTCCTCCACCTCCTGCTCCTCCTCCTCCTCCTCCTCCTCTCCTCCTCCTCCACTCCTCCTCCTCCTCCTCCTCTCCTCCTCCTCCTCTCCTCCTCCTCCTCCTCCTCCTCCTCCACTCCTGTCCTTTTCCTCTCCCTCCTCCATCCTCCTCCTCCTCCTCCTCTCCTCCTCCTCCCCTCCTCCTCGTCCTCCTCCTCTTCTCCTCCTCCTCCTCCTCCTCCTCCTCCTCCACCTCCTCCTCCTCCTCCTCCTCCCTCCTCCTCCTCCTCCTCCTCTCCTCCCTGCTCCTACACCTCCTCTTTCCCTCTCCTCCTCCTTGTCCTTTTCCTCCTCCTCCTCCTCCATTTCCTCCTCCTCCTCCTCCTCCTCCTCCTCCTCCTCCCTCCTCCTCCTCCTCCTCCTCCCCTCCTCCTCGTCCTCCTCCTCCTCCTCCTCCTCCTCCTCCTCCTCCTCCTCCTCCTCCTCCTCCTCTTCCTCCTCTTCCTCCTCCTCCCCTCCTGGCATCATGGGAGAGGGTGGGCCACGGCCGAAAATCGGCCCATCCAACAGCGCGCAAGCGTCGGAAAGGGGCACTGCCTCCCCAGTCAATATCAGTATGCTCCACCTCCTCTTCCTTCCCGTCCTCTTCGTTTTCCTTCCCCCCTCCTCCTCCTCCTCCTCCTTCCCCCCGCCTCCTCCTCCTCCTCCTCCTCCTCCTCCTCCTCCTCCTCCTCCTCCTCCTCCTCCTCCTCCTCCTCCTCCTCCTCCTCCTCCTCCTCCTCCTCCTCCTCCTCCTCCTCCTCCTCCTCCTCCTCCTCCTCCTCCTCCTCCTCCTCCTCCTCCTCAGCCGCCGTTTCCTGCTCCAGCCACACCCTTCGCGGCCCAGCAAGCACTCCACGCAGAGCAGCTTCCGCCCTCAGGGCACCTTCATGTCATGCCAGCGCGGCTTGCCATCCATATTTCCTCTCTCGTGATCTTCTGGATGGCATTCATGCGATGAGTCGTGTACAACCCACTCAGCATGGTGGCGCCACTCAGAAGCATGGAGACATCGCGACAGTTCAGCGCCGTGGACGTCGTCATGTTGCCAGCGACGAGATGGAGGCAGCACGACTCGGCCAGCGCCGTCGACCAGCTTCAGACATACAAGCATCGCATCTTCACCTGGGGGTACGGCCGCGGACCACTCACCAACAGCCACGCGGGGGTCGCCATCATGGTCAGCAACAGGTTCCGAATCAAGTGCAGCACAGAGCTGCCAAGCCCACCAGCGAACATACAAGGCCGCGCAGGAGCAGTATGCATTCGGCGAAGATCACTCGACATGACCTACATCGTCGCGTGCATGCCACCGCGGTCGGGCCTCGCCAAGCAGCACAACGCGTGGGTCAAGACAGTCAACGAGACGCTCAAGTGGATCAACAAGACGCTCAATGCGACGCCCACGAGAAGCACGCCCATCATCGGCTTCGACCTGAATGACCACTACGGCCAGGACGGACTGATCCCCGCTACGCCTAGCAACGTGATCGGCGACGCGGGCCCCACGGGCATCCCAGGAGAAGCTGCAGCGGCATTTCACAACATGCTCGACGTCCACGGCATGTGCATCCTGAACACTTTCTGGAACGCAGGCCCCACGTGCTCCGGAGCACAAGGACAAGCCATACGTCCAGACTACACCGCAGTACCTCAAGGACTACGGGCCCATATCATCTCTTGCCGCGTTGGGTGGCGAGCAGCCAAAGCACTTCAGCTCATCAACGACCACCTCCCGCGCGATCACGTCCCGCTCATCGCAGCCGCCAACATCACAATCCCGAACGCGTTCACCGAGCTGAAGCGGACTTCCTGGGACAACGACAAGACGGCGCAGGCACTTCAGACGGGAAAGCACCGCAAGGACTTCATCCCTGCGCTGGAGACGAATTCCGGCCAGCACCAGGAGCAGCTGCAGGACCTCGCCAGCGCCAACACCACGGACGAGCACTGGGAGCTCATCATCCGCATCTCGCAGGAGACAGCCAAGCCCTTCTTCGAGCGCCGCAGCGCAAGCCCGACAACCATCAAGAGCTCATGGAGGAGCGGCCACGACTCCTACAAGCCGAGCCCAGGGGCGACTACATTGGCACCGCCCCCGACTTCGACATAGTGTTCCAGATCGAAGCTCCCACGCGCGCCCTCAAGAAGCAGAATCGACTCCACGAGGCCGAACGGCGCCGCCAGCTAGAGGAGTTCATTCGCGAGGCCCGGCAACGACGCGAACACGCAGAAGTGCATCGACTGTCACGACTTCTCGCAGGCACCAACTTCGGCAAGCGCAACCGCAACTACAGCCGCGCCATCAGAGCACGACCCAGCCTACAAGAATGGGCAGACCACATTGCACAAGACCGACAGCATGGAGAGTTTCAAGCACAGCCAATCAACCTCAGCGAGGAGAAGCGCATCCTGAAGGAGAGCACCTACGACTTCACCATCGAGCACAATCTGCAGATCCGACAGGAGCACGAGGTCGCCAGGGCCAATGTCAAGCGCACCCTCTACGGCGTAGCCAAGCGGCACAGGTACTTCAAGAAACGCGCCTCCTTGCCAGAGCGGTCGCTGCCCGCAGAGATCTCCCAGATGATCCTAGCGCCCACCAACATCACCAAGCAGAAATCAAAGACGACAGGCGCGGGCTTCGACGACGAGCTCGCCGAGGCACCCCTTACGCAAGGATGATTCGAGTCAGTCATCAACCACGTGTACCGAATCGGTTTTGCACCTCTCGACGCACACCACAGCCAGAGCTTCTTCCTGGACAAGCAGAACGGCAAGCCCAAGACGCTCGGCTTGCGTATCCTTCACATGCCCTGCCCTTCTGGCGATGCTTCTACCGCCACCTCCAGTGCAAGTCGAAGCCATGGGCTCCTCCACCACATGCACGCGGATGCTGGCCACACCGACGTCGTGAAGTACCCACGGCGGCCACGCGCATCGTCGCCCACAGACTCCAGCGGGCCAAAGCCGACTTCATCGCGGGCAGCAAGGACGCCACCAACGCGTTCTCCAGCACCAACACCGACAAGGCCGCCAGCACTATCCCGACCAACCTCAGCGTGACCGAGCAGCGCCTCTTCCTCCAGAGGCTCCAATGCGCCAGCGTCCAGACCGACGGGTTCGATTCCACGGGTGACTACAGCCTCGGCCCAGGGCTAATGCCAGGTTGCAACACAGGCCCCACCTCATTCAACTTCGTCTACGAACAACCTGTGGGACAGCGGCTCGAGGACACCCCGCAGGACTCCGCCCCCTTCGCGGCAGTCTCGCCGATTACGCACGCCATGCTGGACCTGTCCATCTACCTGTACGTGGACGACACCTTCAAGCTCCACCTTATCCCCACCGGCCTCGCGCGCGACGCAGCCCGCATCCTTGCCAACAGCAACGCCACCCTCGACAACTGCCTTGCCGAGCACGGGTTCCACCAGAACAGGGACAAGGAAGAGATCGTCGGAGGGCTGAGAACCAGGCGCGAAAACCGAGCATTAGCCGAACAAGTACAAGGACGGGACCTCCGAACCCTCAAGTACCCCGGCGGCAACTTCCACCACGGCGGCAGCAACACCATAGAGATCGACCAGCGCATCCAGAGCATCAAGCGGGCTTGGTACATCATGGGCAAATTCTGGCACCGCAAAGTATCATGGCGCCTCAAGCGCGTCATCTTCATCAACCGCGTGATCGGCGCCGCAGCCAGCGGCATGGAATCCTACCTGCTCAAAGACACAGAATACAAGCGCCTCGACACAGTCATCGCCAAGTTCATGCGAGTGCTCATGAAGGGCAAAGCCACCACCATCGACGAGGAAGGCCACTACAATACCATGGCCAACGCCGGAGTCTTCAAGCACTGCCACATCTCCCCGATGCATATCGAGCTGAAGGTTCGCAGGCTGCGCATGATAAAGGCCTCCATCAAGTACCCGTCAGACTACGACCAGTGGCCCACCGCACTTTTCGGGGTCATCCAGTTCGAGAACGTGTACAGCCGCGAGCAGGTCGGCGAGATAGACGGGGACGGCCAACTCACCGCAGACGCGAACCCCATAGCGAAGCAGTACTACAATGATGTTTTATCGGTTCTCGAGATAGACAGCGCCGAGCAGTTCAGCTACATGTGGGACGTAAGCATCACTCAACTATATCACGAAGCAGAGGTTGCAACGGCATTCATCAAGATCGACGTGGCGGAACTACGGGCCAGGGCACCCGCAGTGGCTATTACACGGCCTGGTTTCGCGCCGCCAGAACCGCACGATCTCGACCAACGAGCAGGAGACGAGCTGGGTTACTACAAATGTGACCTTCTCACGGACGCAGGACAAGTCTGCGGCCGCAGTTTTTCGACATAGACAGCGCTCTGTACACACCAGACCGCGACAAAAGGAGGAGAGCACGGGCTACGATCAGCAGCAGCAGCAGCAGCCACCATCACCAATCAGTGCCCACTCTGCCGTACTACGTTCGCGGATCGGGCCCAGGCCGAAGATCACTTGTTGCGTTTCCTCAAGCACAAGCGCTGCATTGCCGACAACACCAGGCTGCACTACCCGTTGATATCGATCGAGAACCCAGCTTGCCCCCTGTGCCCCAACATGCAGCCGTTTGCACATCTCTCAAGCTTCCAGGACCACGTCTGCGCGGCACACTTGCCAACCGAAGAACACCACATCTCATTGGACATCGGCCTGTACCAATATGACGTTGTGTCTGCCTACGGAAAAAGACATCGAGGACGTGGCGAGCACACGGAACGTTCGAACAAGCTCCAGAAAACTACGCACCTCAAGGGCAAGGGCGGCCACCACAAGAAAGGCGGCAAGGCCGAGGCGGCAAAGGACGCGGACGGGGACGCCAACATGCAGGACAAGGACAAGGACGACACCAAGTGCGAGGGCAGCCCAGCAGCCGCGGCAGCAGCAGGACACAAAGTACGCCGACAACAACGCGGAGGAGAAGCATACCAAACCAAGTGCGACCCGAAGCTGAAGAAGCTGCTCACCGTGCTCATCAAACAAGTGCTGGCCAACACACAGCAGATCGCGTGGGTCGTTTCCGCGGTGTACAGCACCTACCTGATACCCACGCAGACCAAGGTGATCAAAGCACTACGAGCATGCAGGAAGATCTACGCGGAGAAGTGCAGGGAAGCTGGCAAGGGGCACGCGTTCGGTCCCCCAGAGGGCCATCTATACGTCACGTTTATTTCGACCCTCTGCACCGAGGACGTGGGCGCCAAGACGAGGACCATCCTAGCCGAGCACGGGAAGTTCGTGGACCAGATCAACGTGGCCACCGTGCTCAGCAAAGTCAAGCACCTGAAGCTCAGCAAGTGCTACGACAGCAACATGGCGAAGCTCACCATATACATCAAGCAAGGTCCGTGGACCGATGCCGAGGCGGAGGAGGAAGCCAGCGAGGAGCAGATGAAGCAGGCCCACATGAAGGACAGCATCCACAGGGCGCTGATCCAGGCGGGGGCCACAGTCAAGACGGGGAAGCCACCAGCGGGAGTCATGGAGGATGAATTGGCCGCGTGGTTGGCAGGACTATGAGAAAAGTGGATGGCCGTGCGACTACGCCTCGTTCGGCAAGTGATCGGCGCGCGTGGCGCCGTGATCACAATGAAGGTGCCGCTCTGAGCGGCGACGGCGGGGGCTCATTCTTGCGGCTGAACGCACTGCTCCGCCCCCCAAGGCCGCTCTATCTATATACCTCCTCCTCCTCCTCCTCCTCCTCCTCCTCCTCCTCCTCCTCCTCCTCCTCCTCCTCCTCCTCCTCCTCCTCCTCCTCCTGCTCCTCTGCTTAGATGGCATCGTGTTTTTTCTGGATTCGAAGAGGGCGGAGATAGCTGGAGAAGGCTTCGCTGGCACCTGATCTGAATCATAGCTGACCTGTCAAACTTAGAGCACGAACTACGCCGTCACCATGCGCAATGAAAGGCACTCTCCATCGTCCTCCAACTTCCTCTCCTCCCCCACCGCCTCCCTCTCCTCCCTGAGCGGCACGATGTATTGTCACCAGGAGTCTGAGAACTTCAGCTGTCTCTCAACTCGCGCCAGGACTGCTCCAAATATGTCGTCAGGGCTTAATTACCTCGACGCATCTGGAACGGCATCAACATCAAGAGGAACACTCTTTTTCCTACTCGTCCTCTCCTCTTCGCCCACTGCAAATTTCAATCATCAGGATCACAAGTTATGAGAAAGTCTCAGGCGAATAGCCAGGCCCGCCCCACCGACGCGCACGGGGGGGCGCGACCGGGAAGAGTGATTTGCCAAGGGAGATCTGGAGGCGGCCGCGGGCGGCAGCATGGCGAAACCTCGCCGGACCCACCCAGCGCGCGAGGCGGCCACGAAGCGGCCACGGGCAGCAGCGCGGCGAAACCTCGCCAGACCCACCCAACGCGCGAGGCGGCCACTAGGCGGCCACGGGCGGTAATGTGGAAAATCCTCGCCGGAACCCATCCGATCCCTTACTGGCATGAGCACGAAACCCTAAGTGCAAGCACTGCATGGGGAAAGGGGAAGGGGGGATGGGGGAGGAGGAGAAGGAGTACGACGACGGGAAGGCGGAGGAGGAGGAGAGAATGGAGGAGGGGATGGAGGAGGGGGAGGAGACGAGGGAGAAGGACGGGATCAAGCGTGGGGAGGCAGAGGGGATGAGAGAAGGAGGACAAGGAGGAGGAGGAAGAGGAGGAGGAGGAGGAGGAGGAAGAGGAGCAGGGAAGAGGAGGAAGAGGAAGAAGAGGATCGGCGGTGGACAAAACTCCCTTTCGCAAACCTCCCCTTAGTGAAAACGGCCTGGGACCGAAACCGACGGACCTGGACCTGAAATGACGGCCGCGACGCTCTCTCTCGAACCGAAAACAGCCAATTCCTTAATCGACGTGTCAGGGTAGGAGGTCTGTCCACCCCCGAGAGCAGGAGGAGGAGGAGGAGGAGGAGGAGGCGGAGGAGGGGGGAGGCGGGGATGGTAGACAGGGCTGGAAGAAAAGGGGAAGAAGGAGGACGAGGAGGAGGCGGATCGAGGGTCGGGGATCGAGGACGAAGATGGTGATGATGATGATGCTGATGATGATGATGATGATGATGATGGTGATGATGGTGATGGTGATGATGGTGATGATGAGGAGGAGGAGGAGGAGGAGGAGGGATGGATGGAGCAACATCAAAAAGGCCCTGGCGACCGTCTGCACGCACACGACCGCCAGGGCCCCAGATGTCGATTGGTTCCAGCGCCGCTGCGAGCACGCCGCACGGACGCCAAGACGACGAGGGAAGGGCCCCGAAAGAGCCCTGACGAGCATCCGTCACGTCCCTGGCCGACCCCGAAGCACGCCAGGGGAACGGAAGCCACCCCCGCGGGGACGGACGGGCCACCAGACAGCCCCCAGAGGCCGCCCCCGGGAGGGGACACGGGCACGCGACGAGCCCCGGACCGCGTCGCACCCCCCGAACACGCCGAGGGGGCCGCCAGCCAGGAATCCGACGCAGATCCAGCGAGAGACCGGCCACTCAGGGGTCCCCGACCCCGCCGTCCACCCGGAAGAGGCACACGCCCTTCAGGAGTAGGTCTGCCGAAAGCGGGCACTCCCCATGAAGTCGCGCACGGAATCGACGGCAATTCCCTCGGCCTCGCTCTGGCGGACGACGTCCTCGAAGCTCACGCAGACGTCGGGGTGCCCGATCGTCGGCTCGCCATTCGCACGCTCCGAGACGCTCATCACGCGGCTGCGCGCGAACAGTCAGGAGAAGAGCCGCTCGACGACGCAGCGGCTCGGGCTGGCGAATTACCCTGCTCTTCGCAACCTCGGCCGCCCCGAGCCCACAGCTCGGCGGGTTCCTCGGTGGCGCCCGCCTGGCCCAGCTCGGCGGGCTCCACGGTGGTGTCCGCCGGGACCAGCTCGGCGGGCTCCTCGATGGTGTCCGCCTGGACCAACTCGGCGGGTGCCTCGGAGGTGTCCGCCTGGACCAGCTCGGCAGGCTCCTCGGTGGCGAGCGCTGGACCAGCTCGGCGGGCACCTCGCAGGCACGGCGTCGGGGGACCCGTCGACGGTGACCCCGCCCCCGAGGCATTCCACGGCATCGAACTCCAGCACCGAGCCGACCTCGACGACAACGGCCGTGCACGCGCCCACGGACTCCACCAGGACCACTCGGGCACGACCGAGGGTTCCTCCTCCTGACGTTTCAACACCTCCTGCTGCTCCTTCGGCTGGGCGGTCGGGGTGGCAACGCACTCGACCTCTACGTCCGAGCTCGCCTCGACGACGGGACAATCCACGTCCAGCGCGGCAGCGGTGTCCCGCGCGGTAGCAGCGTCGCCATCCGCGGGGCAGCAATCCCCCGCAGGGGCCCCAAGGCCCGCAAGGCCGCCGACGCCCAGTTCCTGCAGCAGCGTGTCGGCCTTCACGAAGCAGACGGGCGTGAAGGGGGTGGCCTCGCCCCCGACCGGCGTCGCACCGCCTGTCAACAGGTGGTCGTGCGCACGGGCGACCCGGCCCCCGCGCGTGGAGGCGACAGCGGCCGAGGAAGGGCGAGGCGGTCCGCCCGCCGCGCCAAGCGGAGGCGCGTGCCTGGCCCAGCTCCCCTCCTGCAGCGCTACCTCGCATTGAGCGATGGTGTCGAGCGGCATCCGAAGCAGCGTGGCGGCCTGCACCGTCTCGCCCATGCTGGGCAAGTGCGCCCCGAGGCTGTCGCACACCCGCCAGTGCTCGTGATTTGGCGCGAAGGGCCTTCTCGCGCACCACCAGTGCAGCCGCCCGTGACAGTCCCTCATCACGGCGATCGCGTCGCCACCTGCGGGCGAGGGTGCGGGCGCTCGCGTCCGCCCAGCGTCTGCCGCCACCCGCCGACACCTTGGCCTGTGGCGCGCCACGCGCCTGCCCGGCGCGCTACGAGGGCCTCCCGCAACGCGGTTCACTTGAGCCAAAATGGTTACGGAGGACATGGTGGAGGAGGAGGAGGAGGAGGAGGAGGAGGAGGAGGAGGAGGAGGAAGGGGAGAGGGAGGGGGAGGGGGAGGGGGAGGGGGAGGATCGAGGAGGAGTTTTTTGGCGGAGGGCGAGAAGGAAACGAGGGACAAGAGGAGGAAGAGGAGGCCAAGGGGGACGCAACGACAACCCCAAACCGCAGAAACGACAACGCGGGCGGATAATTAAAGGGGAAGACGGAGCGGGACCGAAACCTTCGGAGGCCACCGCGAAGAAGAAGATGTGAGTGGCCTCCACACCACCCCGCAGAAGATCCCACCAGCCCTCTGGGCGGCAGGTGGTCTAAGGAGCGTTTTTTCCTCATCCACAACCCTTCTTTCCCTCGGGCAGGGAAACCCCGTAAGACAGCGAATTTTCAACACCCTGACGGGGATCGTAGCCCCCGATGGGGGGGAGGGAAATCGACGATCCCCCCCTATTTTGACCGACCGCCTCCAAGATGGCCCCAAGAGGCGCTCCAGGGCCCCCAAGAAGCCCCCGAGAGGGCCCAAAGAGCGCCCCAGGAGGCCCCAACAGGGCTCCAAGAGGCACCCGAGAGGCCCCCAAGAGGCCCCCGAGCGGCCTGAGAGAGCCCAAGATGACCTCCAAGATGGCTCAGATAGCCCAAGTTGGCTCAAGATGGCTCCCAAGATGCGCCAAGCGACCCCAAGACCGCTCCAAGACGGCTCGAGATGGCCACGGAGCCTCCCAAGCCTCCGCCGTTGTTTGGCTATGCGTGTCTCTTCCTCTCGCCCCCCGCCAAATCATGGGCATCGTTTCTGGATGGGCTGGTGGGGATACAGTTTTAGTCGCAGCTGCAGGCCGACCAACCGACAGCGTCAGTAGAGTAAGCACGGGCCGCGAGCACCCTAATTGCCGGCGCGCGCACCGAGCAAGCAAACTACACCTACCGCCGAGGGAAGCTGCGCCGGGGCAGAGCTGCGCCGAGGGGTGGAAGCTGCCAGCTGCGGAGGCGGCTGTGAAGTTGCAACGTGCGAGTACCATGGGAGCTGAAAAGGCTGGTTGGGATACGCGAAGCGTCAAGAATTCCATATCGTTGCAGGCCACCAAGAAAATGTCGCCATGGGTGGCTGAACCACCACCCCGTGAAAGAGATGCCATCTCTGGGGGAGACCATGTCGAAGTTGTCATCGTGAGTGGCTCGATCACCGCCCCGAAAGAAGTCCTCTAGTTCGCACACCTCACCAAAGCCAAAAACGGCTCCAGCTCCTCGTCCTCGGTCCTGTCCAGCAGCAAGGTGCCCATCCTGCTACGCTGGAACAACCAGCTGTTGAAAGTACCGCACCTTGGAATTCTCGGCCAGAAGTCTTCTGTGCCACCCCTGCTCCATGTGAACTGTATCCGAGCCAGAAGCCAGGAACCCATCATGCCACGCCGGATCTATGAACTGCTGTGCCACCCCACGAGGAAGGT